GACTTCAGTTTGGCCAGAGTGCCTCCCCACTCAGCCTTACCTCTCCCCTCACCCACGTCTGTGCCTTTTGCTGAGTTCTTGTACCTGATTGCTGGTGTTTTTTGCAGATATTATAGCAGATCTTTAGGAAGCTTTAATGGTGTCTAGGTTTTTGCTTAAAAAAGGAAAACCACTTTGTTATACTACAGGAAATCCTGTTGCGCTGTTGTGTGTTACGTTTTCATTAACGTAACACAGTAACCCTGGTCGGCTCATCTGATTGCCATGTGTACAGCGTATAGATTTATAAAAATGAATTACAATCTCTCCTTGTTAACACTTTGGAGTACTGACAAAACAGACCTCTGCAAGGCTAAAAATAACTGTTTTAAGGCTATATTTTTATTTTCATGGTAACAGACTTTTAAAAGTATAATACTGTAGTAAGATGAACGCTCCTGATGTTCAAATCCTGCCATCCCTTTAAGCAGTAATATTTACATTTATAAAGATTGTGCGCTTCCCTTTTCTGTCTATAGAATGTTTGCCTTGGCTGTGGCGTGTAGGCTACGCTAAGTGGGCGCGATAGCAGAAATGCCTGAACACGACTTCAGGATGGGTCCAAGAGAAGGAGTTATATTGAATAGGAAATGCAGGATGGCTTAACCCGGGCATAATAGCAAGAAATTGGATTTAACCAGGAACCGTGGTGGTGGTGTTGGGAAAGAACATAAGTAACAAGCAAAAATTGTCTGCCTGGATACTTTTTTTGCAAAAACAAAGTAACTTAGCTTCAAATTTGAATTGTATTTTTTGTATTTCTTGTATTTTGACATCCACATTTTACTTTTCAGAAAAATCCTGTGAGTTCTGTGTAGAAGAACAGACAGTTTGTCAAGCAGAGCTGTTGATCCACAGAGCTTTTACTTTCCTTTGTTCCCCAGATCAGCTCAGAGCTCTTCCTCCTCCTTGTCCTCTCCTGCCAGAGAGTGAGATTCTTCTTTGCTCTGTAGAGTAATCTCAGAAAACTGGATTTCCTCAATATTTAATTCCAAGGAACATTATTTTAAATTGTTACAGCTTGTTTCTGTGAAACTACAGTTATTTTTCATGTTGATAGACATACCTTAGCAAAAAAAAATCCTTGATTTATTTTGGCTTTAATACTCATCTTGGGCAATTCTAACATCTTGATTTGAAATTTCTTTTGGTTGAGTTAGTGATGCTTTTTGACTTCACTGACAGTTTGAAATTCTTTGTTTTGAGTAGGTACAAAATGTTCTAGTTTTTCAGACATTGCCAAACAACTTCAGATGACTCATGTGATTTTTAAGTAGGTTGAAGTACCACATTTTGCATCGAAACTCTCTTTTTAATGAAGCTGATAAGTGTCATGTGCTAGTGCAGCCAGACTTTGTAAATTATTTGTACTTCTTCCATTGCAGTTTCCACTAGCAAAAGGAGGGACTGTGTTTAGGAATACGGTGCTATATTTGAAGAAGCAGTTTAACACCTTTCTCACTTGCTTATGTTTTCTTATAAACTTTTATTGGACAAGACTATTCCTTGCAACTTGCTAGCTGGCATTTTTAAACAACATGCAAATACACATGCTTCTTTTTCTTAAGACATACTAGGCTTTTTAATATTGAAAACTTTGGACAGACAAATTATCTGTGTGGTATACAAGAGCTAAATTATGTATTTTGGTATATTTATTGCACGCCCTAAGAGCGGAATATTTCATGTTCTTCCAGCATATTTTATGCTGACTTCTTAGCATGAAATACCTGTAGTCTGGCTTCTTGACAGTAAGGTAGTGTTTTAAGAAAATATATACAGTATTGCTATCAATGTTAATTAAGTACAAAAGCATCTAAAACAGAATGCTTTACACTACTTAAGAGGAGCCCTCCTGCCTGAGCTCCTCGCCTGTCTGCTGTCTTGGTTCCCTCTTAGTGCAAATTCTTATTTTTTCTAATTCTGACTCTTGCTGCTGACTTTCAGCCCTGTATCTAAGTAGCCAAAAGGCTGTCCCTTTTGGAATAAGTCAGAAGGGCTGGGTGCAAGCCTTTCCCGGAGTGTCAGTAGTCTTCTGGAGAACAGTCTTGAAAACTATTTTTGCTGTAATAGTTAGCTTTTCGTCAGTTACCGAGGGTAACCGCATACAATGTTACTAAAGGAGAACTGTATTTGTTTTCTAGGTTGGTCCCTGGTCCAGGAAAGCTTAGTAACAGAGTTGTCTGCATTGTAATCCAGAACTGTTCTGTCTTGTCTTTGTTAGGTTTCTTTATATGTGTTTTCAGTCTTTTCATGGTTAGCCTTTTGTTCTTGATGGAGCGCCCAGGTCTGAGTTAGCTTGTGGTGTTTGTTTTTTTTTTTTCTTTTCTTTGTTAGGTTTCTTTATATGTGTTTTCAGTCTTTTCATGGTTAGCCTTTTGTTCTTGATGGAGCGCCCAGGTCTGAGTTAGCTTGTGGTGTTTGTTTTTTTTTTCTCTTTTTTTCTTTTTTTTTGAAAGGATAGTATCCAGAGCTGTGAAGCAGCTCCAGGTCTGAAGCTGTTTCTGGTTCAGGCTGGTTTTCTTACTATTCCTTGCTAATGAACGGGTAAACCTTAATGCAGATGAGAGATGAAACATTTTTCAGTGGATCCTGGATGTTACTATCTGCTAGGTGATCTCATGTGTTCTACAGTGTATTTTATTGACACCTTGCTCTGGCAGTACAAGAATTAAGCAAATTTAGCTGAAAATTAAGCAGTAGCAAATTTGTGTAGTCTGCTTGCTTTTCAGTTTGTAAGAGGTGAAATTCTTGAACTTTTGCTGTTGGTTAGAGCTTTCAAGAACTGCAAAGGAAGAAGAAGCCAGGAGAACTTCTCACAGTAGATAGAAATTTAAATTATTCTGATGGAATTTAGAATAGCCTCCCTCACAGCGTTTCGAAAGTGCGTAAGTGATGGTTGGATGGTGATGCCAGACTTTGTAAATCGAGGAATTATGTTTCACTTTCAGGATTACCATTAAGCTATTGTGAAAGGGAATTTGGATGGTGTTTCTCCTTCTTCACAGTTAGGCAATTATGTGAGTGGGACTTTCACAAGTATTTTATTTCACTTTTCCCAGCAAGCAGGCGAGAGTAAAGACTTTCTACCTAACTTCATTCTTGAGGTGGCATCCTTGGATTTCTTGTCTGTGATTCTTAGGTTTAATCCTCTTTTCAGTGTAGCTGACTTTTTATTAGGAGTTAGTGCACGATGTGCACGGAGCAAAGTGATGGGACAAGTGATGGAACAAAATTTCCTGAAGGGGAAGGAGAAAGGAGATGCAGAAAATATGGAGAATACTGCATGTTCTGAAATGGAAGACAACTGCAGAGGTAACTACAGCCCATCCTGAATTTTAAGGAGGATGAACACCTGTGTGTCCACATTCACTAGCTCGTTTGAAATGCAAAGGGCTAGGTAAATTCTTCTGACTGGGCATATGTGTTTTCAAATAGTCTAGTATAAAGCATACGGCATCTCCCTGCACTTCCCAATATACCAGTTTTTCTCAAGTCTTATTTTAACCCCTTTGGAATAAGTAAGGGAGTAGTCATGTAACACTGCCATGAGGTGTCAGGGTAAAGCTTTTCAGCAGTTGTTCAGAGATACTCAGGATGATCAAATGTTAGGGTGGGTAGGTCTTGTACATCTTGTATTAAAACACTGAAACTCTGTTAATGACATTTATGGTTTTCCTCATATCATTGGTGCCATTAATAATCTAACATCATTTTAATCTCAGTGTTGAGGCATTCTTTTGAGAAAGTCTAACCATGGAACATATTTTCCATAACTTTGTGTTTGTATGGCTCATTTAAATCATTATTCGGCGTGAGTAATTTATCTTGTTTTGGATTATTAACTCATGTGAAGAAGGTGTGATGTGCTGAAAAAGATGAGTTAGCGGAAAGGAGCCCTTCAAGAAATGCTTGTTATTTTTTATGCAGTATGTATAAGTAATTTCTTTCTTTATTTTCCTGTCCCCATTTTTCTGTTTTTCCAGCTGTCAAACGTTTAATGAAAGAAGCTGCAGAATTGAAGGATCCTACAGATCATTACCATGCACAACCTTTGGAGGTTTGTTTCTCCGTATGTTTGCAGGAGCTTGTCATTAGCCTGTGTAATATATATACTCTAAGTTCTCTGTGTGCATATATATTAAAAACTTGTTTGTATTTTTAGATATTAATACACCTTCTTAAAATTAATTCCATTCTTTTGGCATTTTTTCCTAAGATGGAAATCAGTGGTAGAATTCCACATCTAATGGTATTATGGAACTAGGTTCTTAATGAGAGTACGCGATAGTAATGGTTTTACATTGCACCTGAGCAGTTGCATCACATGGGTGTAATGTGTTTATTCTCACCCTCCTGAGGCTCTGAGTCTACATAAATATATTATGTTTTAGTTTTGGGCGTGTAAAGCTCAACTTGATATCTGGTTCAGTTACTGAGTTGCTCAACAAAACACTTGAAACTAGATGAGCTACATGGACTTCCTATTTTGAGTGCAAAAAACTGCATGAAAGACCTTTAAATGAGTACAGGTCTGCCATGGATGCACTGACTTGTGAGAAAGAACACTTGGTTTCCACCACAGATAGGTACTACTTTGAGGTCCTCTAAACAGTCAGTTAAGTTTCTGAGCTGAGAGAGCAGTGAAATTCTGGTGGCTAGAAGTCTAAAAGGAAACCTATTCTGATTCTGCTAGAATATTAAAAAGGTAATGTCTTGTGATGGTCAATTTTGGGATTTGATTTGACTGTTCGCAGAAATGCGTAGCACACAGCATACTTAGAGCACGGTGCATGTTTCTCGGTACTGTAAAATATACTTTATTATTGACCAGTTTTTGTCTGTATCTTGTTTTCTTCCCGCCCTCTTCTTCCTGAGGTGAAATGCAAGGTTTAATTCATACTGTCAGTCAATAGTAACTTGCATGAAGGTCTTTTTTCAGGGTAAAAACAGTGACTCACTGGGAAGAGAGCAGTGAGAGACAGATAAAAAGACAGGCTGGAAATATTGACGGTTCCCTCTGTCCTTGAAAAAATTTTTAACTAGATGGGCTGTCACAGCCCTGCGATGCTAACATTCAGCATGAGTCATGAGATCTCATTCACTGACAGCAGGCCTCATTGGACTCCTATGATAACAGTAGGAGGTTTTTTTTGTGAGTTGTGGGTGTCAGGAGGTCTGATATGGAAAGCCAAATGCAGAATCCTAAAGAAATAATACTTAAGGAGAAGTTAATTACGTGTCCAATGAAAATGTTCCAAATTTCAAATCATGCCTACTATGCAGTAAGGCAAGATAGCTTTTTCAGAATTCTTCATGGAGAAACAAAAGAGAATGGGAATTCTATAGGGCCAGAGTCAAAGCCCTGTGTTGTGTTGGGCATAGGAGGGGCTTTCAGAGGGGAGACTGTCTTTACATGTTCTCATTTTGGGTGGTTCTGTTCCCAATTCTGTAGAAATTCTTATTCACTGGGGCAAAGACCCAGCTTTCCCTTGTTTGATCCTGAGTTTTCCATCTTTCAGGTAATAAAACTTTTGTCATAATTGGTACAACTCCTGTGAAAAGCTTGCATGATAAACTTGAATTTTCCAACAAAGCCATTTTGTAAGAAAATTACCTGAAGTTACGATATTTCATCCTTTTAATCAGAACCTTAGTACAGTGTTGACTGTCCTGTTCTCCGTTTGATTTTTTTTTTTTTTTTCTATTTGGCGTTTCTTTAGGCTGTCCTTGTTCCAAGAAAGTGGTAATTAGGTGTCTGCTTCTTTGACGCACTCTTCTTTTTTCATGGGGGCATTTTAGGATAATCTTTTTGAATGGCACTTTACCGTTAGAGGCCCTCCAGATTCAGATTTCGATGGAGGAATTTATCACGGGCGAATAGTACTACCACCTGAATATCCCATGAAACCACCAAGCATTATTTTGCTGACGGTAAGCATATTTACCAGTTATTCTTTTTTGCATGAACAGTTTAACCTTAGATATCTGAGAGGGAGATTCCTGGCATATAAGATATCATTCTTTTTGTAATAAAGGTGGCATAGTACAGTTAATACTGCTAATTTAATGGGAAGTCTTCCAAGGTAACTTTGGTATTTTGTAGTTATATAAAGTTTTGCCCCTATAGATGGAAATTTTCCCCAGGAGTAAGCGCATTGCTAATGTGAATGCGATGGTCTAATGTTTTTCTTCCCTCCGTGGACCTCTTCAGTCTCTGTATTGGCACATGTAACAAGGCAGACCAGTGTTATGGGGGAAAGGTCTACATTTCTATGCAGTTTCATAGAGCTACAGCTTTTCAAGCTCTCTTTGTATGATTTGTGGATTACAGGAGCAACAGTGAAGCCACCTGTTTGAACAACAATCAAAGAATTTAATTAAAATTTAATTATCAAATATTGTTTGCAAATGGATTTATTTTATCATAATGTTTATACCTTCTACCAAAAAACATGGGTTAACTTCAAGCACTCTTTGTTATATCTTCCTTCTTCCTTTAAAGGCCAATGGTAGGTTTGAAGTGGGGAAGAAAATTTGTTTAAGCATCTCAGGGCATCATCCTGAAACATGGCAGCCTTCATGGAGTAGTAAGTAACAATTTTTCAGAAAATGTTATCCCCACCAAGCAAGCAGATCTTTAAACTGAAAAATCACACAAGCAATGCTATAGTACTGTTTCACAGATACTTGTCTTGATAAGTGGACTAATTCTTAGTGATGTTTAGCAAAACTTCTCTCATGTCTCCCTGAACTCTAAGAAACCCCGTGGTTCCTGAAACTCTGATCTTTGAGAATTGAGCAGAAAGAAAGCACAGTTTTATGATTTTGCATGTGTTAGTAGTTACATTTCCTATTAGTTTATTTCCAGTAAACTTCAGTTGAAATGTTTATTGAAATTCCTTTTATTAAAAGCTGGAAGAAGAAAACAGAACAAAGCCCCACTGAATTATAAACTAATGATGCTGTGGTCAGAAATGTTTGATTATCATGATGTTAAAAGAATAAATGGAAATTGTATTTACATTTTAATTCATTACGCAGACCGTAACTTTGAGTAAAAATATGGAATCCAGTTTCTGTTGTAGGTGTTCCACTGCATACAAACACGTGAACTTTCTTAGTGGCACATTTTTTCAGTTAGGAGCGGTATATGTATGAGAGTTGGAGAATGGTTTTTGAAGGAAAAAAAGATGGGAGAATTGGAAAAAATGTAGAGCAATGAAAGAGGGACATAGGATTTAGGAATGACACTAAATAAAGGTAAGGTGAAAGATTTGAGAAACAGAGGGATGATGGTAAGCCATTAATGGTTGTGCATCCAAATCAATAAGGGGAATTCTCCAACCACGTAGTATATTTTAGTTTTGTTTTAATTATTTTTATGTAAAATACTTTTAAATCCTATTACTTTACTTTTTTTTCTTCTAATCATTAAAATCAGCTTTAAATACTGATGGTGTTGAGTGTGGTCAGCTTTTAATTCTCACACTGTGCCCTACAGTAAGTGAACACTGAAGAGGAAAGACAACACAGTCCTAGTTCAGAATATTTATTTATTTATTTGTTTTTGGTAAGTGCCTTTCCTGCAGAGATTGGGAGAGTCAGCAAGATGCAGCCAAGGCAATATTTTCTTGTGTGTGTGTGTGTGTGTATTTAATTCTGATTTTAGTGAATGCAGTTCTTGCGTTCTCTTTGGATATCAGTTACATGTTTTCAATATGTTGATAAGATTAAAGCTGGATCAGAGTGTTGTGCTAAACCAAGAGTCCTGTTGGTGGTCTGTATAAGTCAGCACATTCTCTTGAAGGAGAGATGCAGATATTTCATATGGCTGGACAAGGCCTTAGGAGTCTTCTAGCAGACCACTTTTCAACTTTCATGAAGGCATTTATATTTTTAAAGAGCAGATAATATTGTCTTCTGAAGAGAAGGGGTATATATGCTGTATCAATTTTGTGATATTTATTTGCGCATGTTATTTGTTTACCAAATCTACTGGTAAAGTGCTGTGACTTTTAAAATTTCATTAGTGTATGTAAAGCAAAATTGAAGGATAGATGTTTTCAAAAGAGGAGATGCTTTATTTGACAGTTCTGTTATGAGCTTTGCACATTTTTAGGTAAGCTAGCCCCTTTCCCAACACAGTGACGTAAAAGGAACAGAATTTGCAGACCACTGTACCACAATGTAAATGGCTGAGGTTGTGTGCATTAAATTGCAGGATTTGCATCTAACAGAAAAAACGCACGCAAGCAGTAGAATGCCTTATGGGTCTGTCTCTTTTGCAGTCCCCGTTTTTATGTTATTCTGCCTTACCGTCTTCCTCAGAGACCATTTTTAAAGTCTTGATTTTACCAGAATGCTTAGGATTTAATAAACCATTTAATTTTATTCTATTATTCTCGTTATCTTGGCTAATATAGGAGAGCTAGCCAAAATGCCAAGGCATTGTTAGCATTTTATTGTGGAAAAAGAGAAACTTCATGAAAGATTAATTTTAATTATTCACATTTCTGAGAACGTTGTTTTAATCAAATATGCTAATCGTTACATTGACACAGCATTTTTGTGACAACTTAGCTTTTCTTCTCTCTGTTAGTTGATGGAAGATTAAGGCCGTACCTTTTGCTTATAGTGTGAAGTTTAAAAAAACAGCAAAACCAATTGCAAAACCCTAGCGCTGCTTGCGTGAAATTCAGGCTTCTTTGGACAAAAGTTCATTTTGTAAGCAAAACTCCATGTGTTTTATATTGAATGTAGGGTCAGATGAAATAGCAATTGTTTCCGCGACCTAGTTTGTATCTCTGTTTTCCAATTTTAGTAAGAACAGCTTTACTAGCCATTATCGGATTTATGCCAACCAAAGGTGAAGGAGCCATAGGATCTCTAGATTATACACCAGAAGAAAGAAGAGCTCTTGCGAAGAAGTAAGCATTACGTTTGTTAATGCAGGTGACAACTTCAGATTGATTTTTTTAGCATTTGTTATATTTTTTAGTGCTTGCATGTGCATATATAAATATCACACAATCACAGAACGGCCAAGGTTGGAAGAGACCTCTGGAGATCATCTAGTCCAACCCCCCTGTTCAAACAGGGGCACCTAGCGCACATTGCCCAGGATCGCATCCAGACGGGTTTTGAATATCTCCAGCGAAGGAGACTCCGCAACCTCTCTGGGCAACCTGTTCCAGTGCTCATTCGCCCTCACAATAAAGAAGTTTCTCCTCGTGTTCAGATGAAACTTCCTGTGCTTCAGTGTGTGCCCATTGCCTCTTGTCCTGTCACTGGGCACCACGGAGAAGAGGCTGGCCCCATCCTCTTGGCACCCTCCCTTCAGATACTTGTACACATTGATCAGATCCCCCCTCAGTCTTCTCTTCTCTTCTCCAGGCTGAACAGGCACAGCTCTCTCAGCCTGTGAGAGATGCTCCAGTCCCCTTAGTAGCCCTTCGCTGAACTCGCTTCAGTAGCTCTATATCTCCCCTCTACTGGGGAACCCAGAACAGAACCCAGCACTACAGGTGTGACCTCACAAGAGCTGAGTAGAGAAGGGTCACATCCCTCGACCTGCTGGCAATGCTTTTCCAATAGACAAATTGTGAAGTGTGCATATGTCTATATGTGTACACACACATGTGTAAAAGCGTACATGTATTTGTTATATAGAAACCCGTATATATGAAAACATATAAACCTTATATAGAAACTCCAAAAAAACAAATGGAAGGAAGAAGGAAACCATCTCTGCTTGGAACAGAATAATGGCTTTTAGGCCCGTTGGTCTCATCATATACTGTTATTTATTGCTTGCATTTTCAAGGGTTTTACCCTCTATGATCCTTGAGTTTTGTGGTATCAGGGAAGGCAACAGCCATGGATCAGTAGCAGTGTGAACTAAACTACTGTAGAGTGCCACTGTCGTGTAAAACTTAGTTTACTATGCTTTTACATTTTATTATTCAGATTTCTTGGTGCAGGTTGTTTTGCAGAATTGTGCAATACTTGTAATATGGAAAATGAGTCTGTCTCTTGCCAGTGTATTCTCTTTTGAGAGTAGGGCATTAAGGAGATAGCAAGTCGCTTCAACTAGTATTCTCTCACATTTATTCCAAATAAAAAAGTGTTCTAGATCTTGTTTCTCTTGTTTTTCCTGAACATTGTGCAAACTCAGAGCTCAGGGTCAGACAAAATACTTATTTTGAGAAGGGCTGTATTCCTGTCAGCATTGTGTGGTCATATTACAGATTTTCTGCAATTCATTCCTTAGCTGTGTAATTAACGTTACTGTACAGTGGTAATTGCAGTGTGGAGGAGAAAAAAAGTATGATGGAATTGATAAGTGTGAGTGAGGGAGAAAAAAGCAAAACAATGCATCATTTTCATAAGAAAATAATAAAACAACAATGAAAAATCTCATGGTAACTGCTTCTAAATAGTTTTAGGGAATTAACTTAAAATTAGATTTGTGGTTCTGACAAAATGACTAGCTCAGTGGACAAAGGGGCAAGCAGTGGCTACTGTTTATCTTGACTTTAGCAAGGCTTTTTGTCTTCCCTAACATCCTCAGAGAGAAACTATGAAGTACAACCTAGATAAGTGGTCAGTGAGGTGGACTGGAAACTCTCAGGGTCAGAGGGTTGTGATCAGCAGCACAAAGTCCAACTGGAGGCTAGTCGTTAGTGATGTGCCCCAAAGGCCCATACTGGGTCCAGTACTGTTTAACATCTTCATTAATGACCCGGATGATGGGACCCGGCACACCCTCAGCAAGTTTGCAGGTGGTAAGAAACTGGGAGGAGTAGCTGAATCACCACATGGTTGTACTGTCATTCAGGCTGGAGAAATAGGTGGAGAGGAGCCTCGTGAAGTTCAACAAAGGCAAGTGCAGGGTGTTGTCCCTGGGGAGGAGTAACCCCATGCACCAGTACAGGCTGGGGTTGACCTGCTGGAAAGCAGCTCTGCAGAGAAGGTCCTGGTGGACAACAAGTTAAGCATGAGTCAAGAATGTGCCCTTGTGGCCAAGAAGGCCAATGGTATCCTGGGGTGCATGAGGAAGGGTGTTGCCAGCAGGTCAAGGAAGATGATGCTTCCTCTGTGCTCAACACTAATGAGGCCACATCTGGAGTGCTAGGTCCAGTTCTCTGCTCCCTGGTACAAGAGAGATTGAGTCCAGTGAAGGGTCGCTAAGATGATTAAGGGATCGGAGCATCTGTCATATGAGGAGAGGCTGAGAGAGCTGGGACTATTTAGGCTGGAGAAGAGAAAAAAATTTTACTTTGAGGGTGACTGAGCACTGGAACACGTTGCCCAAAGAGGTTGTGGAATCTCCATTGGAGATACTCAAATTGTGACTGGCCATGATCCTGAGCAACTGCTTTACTTGATCCCGCTTTGAAGAAGGAGCTGGGCTAGATGATCTCCAGAGATTCCTTCCGACCTCGACTATTCTGTGATTCTGTGGTTATCCCTAAATGAAAGCTTATGCCCATTTTCCTCCTCCCTCCATTCCCCCCATTTGGGGAGAAGATACTTGAAAGACCATATCCATACCTTATAAAGACAATTACTGTGTTCTGAGTTGTAACTAACTTCATATTTTGCAGGCACATGTGATCTAGTTTGGCCTGTAGTGTGAGCTAATCAGAAGCTGTGACTT